AATAGTAATATTTATCCTGGACCTGGGTCCAAGAGAGCGTGTAGTCCAAGATGAATTACAACAATTGGATATGCTGAATGTTGAAGACAGTAAAAATAACTGAAGTTGAATTAAGTTTATAAAAATTACTCACAAACAGTGTCCAGAATATCTTGCTGCCAATTTTGTCAAGGTGGAGAACTTAAGCAATCATAGTACTAGGGGGAGAGAGCACAACTTTGTAGTACCCACAGCCAGTGGCCAGGCTTCAAACACCTTTTACTGTACAGCAATAAAGGAATGGAACAGCCTGCCTGCACATGTCAAAGCCAGTCATAGCATGAACCAGTTCAAGAAGAGTGCCAAAAGGTTCTTAATGAATGTAGCGACAGAAAGGGATGAGAATGATTTGTTTTTATTTTGTAGCTAACACATGTGTAAATATAAATAACTCAATTTACCTTATTCCTATAAATAACTCAATTTACCTTATTCCTAGTATATCTCCTTTATAGTATAATAAGATATTATCTCCTTTATAGTATAATAGTAAAATATCTTCTTTATAGTATAATAATAAGGTATTAAAAAGACCCCAATGGAAATAAAATCACTTTGACGTTTTTGGGTTATCCTAGGTTCTGTACACATATGCTGCTATGTATGATAATCTATGTGACTGTATTTGTGTATACCTGAATAAACTTACTTACCTGGGTCTAGGTGATGACTGGCATTAGATTCAGCGAACTGGAGCTAGAGCTACTCTCTCCTTGTATCAAACCTGATTACCTTCCGTTTCCCAGGTGCTGTATGAGCCCCACGGCTTTAGCTTTCCCCATGAATATAATAATTAGCCTTATTGCTCAACATTTATTCCCTGCTTTGCTTGCACAATTTCCTTGTACCATTTTCCAAAATATTTAAAACCCAGTATAATACTTTCATCACTGAATGCTAAATCCCTCTCATTCTCACAAGGTCATAATGTCCAATTGTGCTTTATCAGTAATTTAACCAGCCATCGCATGTCCTGGCAGATACAGAAAATTGTTAGGTCAGTCATCTGCATATGTATTGGGTTGTGGGCGTAGATAAATTGGACAGTTAACAGCAGTGGTTTAAGGCTTCGTGGATACTTCCTTGCAATAGGCTGGCGGGGACTGGAGTGGCTTACAGACTCATCTCCATTAAAAATTACCCTTGGATATCGTCCTTGAAGGTAGTACTCAGGTGATGTAGAGTGGAGCCAGCACTTGGTTTCAAGTTCTCTTTGTCATACCCGGCCAAAGGCACCAGCATTGTTCAGTACATTTACACATGATCATAGATTCAACCAATAGTTAGTGCCTTATAGTGGAGAAGCTCGTCAAGTGACTGATGCCACATAGTGAAGCTCCTCAAGTGATTGATGCCACAAAAGTGGAGAGGTTCATTCAGTGTTTATCTCTTCAAAACTGACAGTCACATATCGAGTGGTAATAAAGCGTCATTTATTGTGAGACCTTGTCATTGATAGCTGTGACACTAGCTGACAAGCTCTTATTTCTTAAGTTTTATAAACACATACACAGAAGCCAGGAGCTGTGACTCGACCCCTTCAACCACATATAGGTGAGTACACACACACACACACATACACACACACACACACACACACACACACACACACACACACATACACACACACACACACAACACACACACACACACACACACACACACACACACACACACACTAGTTGAGAACCCACACCTAGCCAAGCAACGTAAAGAAACTAGAGAAAGTGCAAAGGTTTGCAACAAGACTAGTCCCAGAGCTAAGAAGTATGTCCTACGAGGAGAGGTTAAGGGAAATGAACCTGACAACAACTGGTGGACAGGAGAGGTAGGGGGGACAGGATAGCGACATACAAAATACTGAGAGGAATTGACAAGGTGGACAAAGACAGGATGTTCCAGAGATGGGACACAGCAACAAGGGGACACAGTTGGAAGCTGAAGACACAGATGAATCACAGGGATGTTAGGAAGTATTTCTTCAGCCACAGAATAGTCAGGAAGTGGAATAGTTTGGGAAGCGATGTAGTAGAGGCAGGATCCATACATACTTTAAGCAGAGGTATGATAAAGCTCACGGTTCAGGGAGAGCGACCTAGTAGCGACCAGTGAAGAGGCGGGCCAGGAGCTTGGACTCGACCCCTGCAGCCTCAACTAGGTGAGTACAACTAGGTGAGTACACTAGGTGAGTACACACACACACATAGTAATACATTAGGAGCTGACTCTTCATAAGAATTCAAAATTTGACGAAGCTAATTAAAAATTTAGAGAAAACTAGAATAAACAGAAAACACACTCTCTCAGTAATTATACCATAAAATTGAAGAAACAAACGGGCTCTATCCCTGTAGCCCATTAATTCTCCCTACCACTTTCTTCAATCTCTCGCATTGTTCATAACTCTCCCTACCATTTTCTTGTTTCTCGCATTGTACATAACTCTTCCTACCACTTTCTTCAGTCTTTCACATTGTGCGTAACTCTGCCTACCATTTGTTCAGTCTCATTGTGTGTAATTTCCCCCTACCACTTTGCACCTCAGTTCTATAAGAGAACTAATTTGTGTCCATGTTCATTAGTATCTATTACCTTCAGTTAGAATGCATTAGTACAGTATAAGTATTCCTGAGCATTTAATAGTATCCATAAGAATTCATTGTTCATTATCATTCGCTTTAATTCATTATCGTTAATTAGTATTATTTATTAGTATCCATGACCATTCATTACTGCCCATGATCAAATATTAGTATTCATGATTAAACATTAGTATTCATGACCATGACAAAACATTATTATTCATGACCATGACCAAATATTAGAATCCACCCATCCATGGCCAAACGTTTAGTATTCATGACCGAACATTGGTTTTCATAACCAAATATTAGAATCCATTACCAAACATTAGTATTCACAACTAAACGTTAGTATTCATGACTAAAAATTTGTATTCATGATAAAACACATAGTATTCATAACTAAACTTTAGTATTCATGACTAAACATTAGTTTTCATGACCTAGCATTGGTTTCTAGTTTAATTTCTGTTATTAGCATTCATGTAATATCCTAAAATAGGAGTTATAATTCATTGTGGCCTGGTGGCTAAAGATCTCGTTTCACACGGCTAGGGTCCGGGTTCGATTCCCGGCGAGGGTAGAAACATGGGGCGTGTTTCTTTACACCGGTTGTCTATGTACCCTATTGGTAAAATGGGTACCTGGGAGTTAGTCGACTAGTGTGGGTTGCATCCTGGAACAAAACTGACCTAATTTGCCCGTAATGCTCTGCATAATAAGCGGCTTTCTATATAGTAGTATATCATTGATGTCAGCTAGGTCTGTATACATACATGTACTTGTAGAAATAAAGACATAATCATTATTATTATAAGGAGGTCAGTACGTAAAGAATAACATAGATCAAATGTGTTGACAATACTAGACTGGGTGTGACTAGCTTGGGTAAACGCAGAGCTTGTAGGGGTTGTATAGCACTTGGGAATGGGTAGTAATCAGGTTTGATCCAAGGAAGGCGAGTGTAGCTCCATTTCCTTGGATCAAGAGCTGTTCACCAAATCAAGGCGCCTCTCCCCGTCGAAGAAAAAGACTAGGGCAAATGCGGTGCTTATGGTATAATGACATACTTGTAGGCACAGGTGTGTATAATGACACACACAAATGTGTATAATTACATATTTGTAGATACAGGTGTATGCAGTTACATACTTGTAGGCACAGGTGTGTGCACTCACATGTTTGTAGGCACAGGTGTGCACAGTTACATGCTTGAAGGCACAGGTGTTTATAATTACATGTTTGTAGGCACATGATGTCCGGTCTTTTCATCGCATTTTTTTGTAATATCTTGCATTTCCCGCATACACTGCTTTTCATGTATCCAGTGTTTTGTTTTACATCTTTTCATTTTAAACTTTAATTTAGCTTGGTCAAATTTTTAAATTCTTGTATAGCCATCTAATGTATCTTTTTTATGTGCTTGCGCGCTCTCTCTCTCTCTTTCTCTCTTTCTCGTTAGTTCGTTCACTTGTGAATTCTTGTTTAGTAATCAATTTTTTACATGCATAACCATATGCGTTTTGTGGTCACGGTCGCCAACACTTACCTCATTTTTTTCCTGATTCTTCCATAAGGAGCTGCGAAACGAGATATACTCAACTTTGCCCTAGGGTAAATTCCCCACTTTGCATTGTAGCCTAATGACACGGAATTTGTATTCAATAAAGAACACAAACAATGAATACAATAATAATTCTTATTGACCCATGTTAGACACTTTTAACTCGCACCCACCCCAGCTCATTTACCCGTCCAACCTATATTTAAAGCTGCCAAAAGTTCTCACCCCAGTGACATTACCTCATAGTTTGTGCCACTCATTCACAACTCTCCTGCCAAACTAGTACTTCCCTATATCATTTTTAAATGTAAATTTCTTCAACTTGACTCCATTACTGCGAGTCCTGTCTTGGTTAGATACTTTCTGCACTTTACATCTCCTTTATTATTGTTTTCCATTTGTATATCATCCCCCCCCCCCTTTACGTCTTTCCAGTGTGTGCAGATTCATTCACAGTCTTCATCGGAGAGGTTCCTGATGCACACGATCAACTTTGTCGTCCTTCTCAATAATACTTTCCAGCACATTAATGTCCATTCCTTAATATGGAAAGCAGAACTGCGCGTAATCTACATAAAGCCGTACTAAAGATAATATAAAGAAATATAACCTTTGGACTTCTATTATTGACATAGAAAGCTTCAGTGTTAGCAATGATGAATCAGATCAATGGGAAGTAACTAAACGTCAGCGCAGTGAGCGTGTTTCAGTAAAATAGGAAGAAAGCTTTTTTTTTTTTAATTGCAAGTAATGATGAATTTTCAAAATAAGTAGTCGGTATTTAGGTGAAGAAAACTTTACTGAAAATAGGTTACAGTCGGGTAAGAATAGGAAGATCCTGTGGGAAGTAGTGATGAGTCAGGAGACTGAGTATCTGCAGGTAAAGACGGGAATAATGCTTTATGGGGAAAAGTAACAAGTGAATTTAGAGAGATGAAAGATAAGCTGAAGCAGTGTGGCTATGTTTAATCAACTTTGAAACACAAATGTTGATCAAAAGACAATTTTTTAATGATTAAAATTAATTTCCTGTGGGCAACAATTTAAAAATAATAGTGTAAACACTGAGATTAAAGGGATTTATCCTTCATTTGCAGACGAGCCGGTGTCCGGCGGGCCGTCGGCTTCCTGGAAAGGATTACCATCTCGTATTGCCGGCCATTATCAACCATCTATACAGGGACCCTACGCTCACCTCCGAGACGGCGTTACCACCGGAGGCGTCACCACTGCCGTGTCAGCTGCTCGTCCCAGAGTAATCGTCACCAGTATGAAGCTGCTTCACTACCTCACACAAGGACCGACCCAACTTCAAGCCTCTTGGTCTTAAACCATAGCTGCTCTTGAGCACCAGGAGCACACATGCCTTGGACCGCTGTTGTAGTGAATGACATCTATAGAGTCGTCGCCGTAAGATCTCATTTATGTTAAAAACATCTCATCATGTATATATTAGTCATCCATTCTGCTAAATCTTTTGTATTTGTAAAAAAAAATATTGACTACATGACTTTTTAATTTCCTCATCAAAATGAGTAAAGGTTAGTCCTAATTTTGCAACAAAACAGACAGCAGTTAAAAAAAATAGTGCTTAAATTTGACCTTTACCCAAGAGGATTTATTGTGATCCCAAAGATTTAATTTTGTATTTATAATAATATGTACATTTGAGTCTAAAACGTGAGCCATTTCCAACATCGTAACCCAAAGAAAACATTTGCCTGTCAAGTGAGATAATTAAAATGGTATAAAATACCGACAGATTGTTAGGTAAGACACATATGCAACAGTTAGGTATCTTTATTTCGAAATGTTTCGCCTACACAGTAGGCTTCTTCAGTCGAGTACAGAAAAGTTAATAGAAGCAGAAGATACTTGAAGACGATGTAATCAGTCCATCACCTGCCCTCCCAACGCAACCTACGTCTCACCTCCTGGCACTATAAAAGGCTCCATCCTGTCACTTCAACTTCATATTGTTTTCAGACAACGGAACAATGCTCTTCTCCAGACTGAGGGACTGACCACCTCAAAACTTTAAGGGTGATGGACTGATTACATCGTCTTCAAGTATCTTCTGCTTCTATTAACTTTTCTGTACTCGACTGAAGAAGCCTACTGTGTAGGCGAAACGTTTCGAAATAAAGATACCTAACTGTTGCATATGTGTCTTACCTGTCAAGTGAGATAGCTTGACGCCGGGGAAGGGCTCTTGACCCAAGGAATTGAACCTATCTATTCTTTCCTTGACTTGAATTTGATTACTACCCATTCTTACCAGGTGCTGGAAAACCCCTACGGGTTTAACGCTCCCCAATGTATTGAATAAAAACATTCGCTGAGCTACCCTGTCCCCTCAAGGGGACAGGTGAGGGCTCTTGATCTAGGGAATTGGATCTGTGCTCCAGTTCCCTGAATTAAGCCTAAATACCTCCCATCCCCCCACAGGCGCTGTAATAATCCTACGGTTTAGCGCTCCCCCCATGATTATAATACTCCCTGTATGAGCCATACTGATTTCGAATTCCAGTTAAATAATAGCGCTATCATCTACCAGAAAGACCGAATTCGAAGAGAAAGACATAGTCTTTTAATAGAAAGAAATAGTCCATTAATTGTAATTAGGATCAATGTAATGTTAGGTGCACTTTGCGTTAATATTACTTTTCTGAACGAGTTCACTGAATAGGTTAGAAGAGGTAATAGGTACTGAAAAATGCCGAGTCAATGCCGAGTCACTTTACAGGAGTGGTTTGATTTCAGCGTCTTTGCCTAAAAAACCACCAGCAACTCCCCACATTTGGTTTTTGACTTATTATCGGGGAAATTAGCAGTTTCGTCAAAATTTGCTGAGAATTGTCTCCCGTATGACTTCACGATTTACAGATATAGCTATTGTAGATAAATGGTTAAAAACACTGACAAGTTGATGAATGAGACACTTTTGCAACACGTGAGAATACCCACATCAATCTGCCTGCTGACTGCACAGCAGTTAACAGGCAGACGTTGTATCTGGATCAAGTGATTAAGTAAGTTTATTTAGGTATACACAAATACAGTTACATAGATTATCATACATAGCACAATATGAGTAAATTACCTAGGATAACCAAAAAAAGTCAGACAGAGTGACTTATTTCCATTGGAGTCCTTTTACCTTATTATTATAATATAAAGGTGATAATATCTTATTATTCTATAAAGAAGATAACATCCTCATACTATTAAGACTATCGACTACGCGAGGGTCATTAAGACTATCTATAATACGAGGGTCATTACTAGGAATAAGGTAAAATTACACGTGTGTTAGCTAACAAAAAAAATAATTCCCCTCCCTTCTGTAGCTACATTCATCAGGCACCTTTTGGCGCTCTTCTTGAACTGGCTCATGCTATGACTGGCTTTGGACGTGTGCAGGCAGACTGTTCCAATTTTATAAACTTGATTTAGCTTCAGTTGTTTTACTCTGTCTTCAACATTCTGAATATCCGGTGCTGTAATTCATCCTGGCCTACATGTTCTCTCGGACTCAGGTCCAGGCTGAATCTTACCATTTTCTTCTGGGTGATTTGCAGTCTATCTTTCAGTTTTTTGTCATGAAGAGCAAGCGTAGTCCATATGACATTGTATATGGACTAGACATAGGGTCCTGCGAGCCTCAGTAGTAGACACTGTGCTTGTCTATAGATAGAGGAACTTCAGTCTGGCATTCGCTTTCTTTACTACACTGTTTCCCTATCAATTCTAATATGCATGGGTCAAAGACGATTGCCAGATATCTTACTGAGGAAACTGAAGTGATGGGCTCACCATTACACTGGACATTAAAATTATTTACCTTTCTCAGTTTATGCTTCGTGCCAAAGAGAATGTCTTCAGTGTTCCCGAGGTGTAATGATAGTTTGTTGTCTACTAACCATTTGCTGTAGGATTCTAGTTCCAGTGTTAATACATTAGCTATGTCTTGTGGGTCTTTACGTGACACTAACAGAGCACTGTCATCTGCATACAGTAGGAGTTTGCACTTGATACTGATAGGCATGTCGTTAACATAGCAAAGGAATAATAAGGGACCCAGAATAAAATTAACT